TATAGTTATTCGATAATCAATTAATACAACCAAGAGAGGTGTTAATGTATATATGGTATATATTCCTACATATATTAGGTATTGCTTTTTTAGATATGTTTGGAAATAGCCATAATTAGGTTTTTAGTAGGATACTGTTTCTTATAGTTATGTTTCTAGTAGGATACTCTTTCTCAACCTATATATACAGGCTTTCTATTGTATAGGATTAATTCATTCACTATAATACATATTATTTCCTCTCTCTCTCTCTACTATTCTAGCATGATATCAAAGCTATAGGTTAAGCTCTTGGTGTTCTTCGCCTTCTAACGGGCGACAACCTTACCTTGGCCGCCTGCCGGACCTCAAACCCTTTTGCTGCTATATTTTCCTTTTGGGCAAATTACATATACACCCCTCCAGGTTTGGTTAAATTACAGATACCCCCCTGAGGTTTGAGAAATTACGAATTCCCCCCTGAATGCTATATTTGCATAAGAAATTAGGGGGTAATTTGTTATGAAATATAAACCTCAGGGGGTAAATTGTTATGAAAATACAAACCTCAGGGGGCGGGATGTAATTTCCGAAACCTCAGGGGGGTATCTGTAATTTAACCAAACCTCGAGGGGTGTATATGTAATTTGCCCAAAAAAAAAACTGAAAATTCAAAATGGAAACACATTTTTTGTATTTTCATTTTTTTGGCCAAATTTATAAACTGAGACCACTGATTTATAAATCAAAAATTTTACCAAACAAGTTTTTATTTGAATTTTTTAAATTTTTGTAAATATAAACAGAAAACTGAAAACGTAGTGTTACCGAACGGCACCATAGTGTTAGACGCTGTTTGTTTTTTGTTTTTATTTATTTATTTTCTTATTTTTTTACATAATAAAATATTAAACATGTTTACATTTATTTTTTAATTAATATATATTCCTTCCGTCCCAAAATAATGGTCATTTTTGGAGAATTCAACTTTTTTTAGTAGTACAATTATTACATTTGAAAAAAATTGATTTTTCAAAATGATCCTTTTGATAGTACATTTTTTTGGAATATCAATGTCATAATTGTATTTTTTATATTATTTATTAATTTAAAAGAAGGGCAAAATAAGAAATTTATATTATTTTTGTACTTGATTTTTGAAGATGGACTAACATTTTGAGACAATAAAAAATAAAATAAGGGGCTAATATTTTGCGACGAAGGAAGTATATATTTAGGCCTAGTTTGGGAAGACTAAATAAGTGCACTTTTTGACTTTTTATGAAATATGGGTTGGGTTTGGGTTGGGTTTGAAGTGATGTATTAAAGAGGTGATGTGACTTAAATAAGATAGTGACTTTTTAACTTTTTATCTTTTTTCAATCTTCCTAAACTAGGCCTTAATATATATGTTTTTTTACATTTTGTTTTGAAAATAAATTTGAAAGGTCATTGGCGAGTTGTGGTGGCTAATGGTTGAAGTTAGTTAAAAGTAGTTGATGGTTGTGAAAAGTGATTTTTAATTAGAGATAGATGTTATTTGATGTAATTTATTGTAAGTTAAAAATTGATAATTAGAAAGTAGAAATTAAAAGCACTTATTTTCTCGCTTTTAAATAATTTTTTTAAACTTGTTTAAGCTATTTTTACCTAAAAAACTGTAAGCAAAAGCTGTACCAAACAGTTTGACACAGATTTTCACATTGAAATAAGTTATAATTACCCCTGTAATTCACACCAAAACCCCATAATTATTAAATGAACTCCCCCTAATCCACACCAAACACCCCCATAATTATTAAATGAGAAAATTGTTGAAAAATCTAATGTAAGAAAGGTATAAAGCATTATATAAAGCATTAGGTTGAGTGGATATTTTTTATTGGTGTAAAGTCCACCATTTGTAAAATAGTTTTGTTAGAAGTCTTTTTATTATTTTGGAAAATATTTTGTTTCTAATTTTACACCTTAATTTATCTATTGACTTTTTTTATCTGTTTAATTTTTTTTTTTTGACGATCTATTCAAATTATTTTCTATCTATTCAAATATTTTTTTATTGTTTAATTTTTTTTTACTATCTGTCAAATTTTTATTTATCTATTCCAATATCTATCTACTAAAATTTCTTATCTATTCAAATATCTATCTTAATTTTATTATCTATTCCATTTTTTTACTTATCTGCTTAAATTTATCTGATCAAATATTTTATTTGTTTAAAATGGTTTATCTGTTTAATATTTTTATTTGTTTAAATTTTAGGACAAACTTTACTTTACTCCCTTGTGGTTTAGGTCGGGTGTGGATAACCCTTGACATTCGGAAATCACCACATAACCCCCATGTGGTTTGTAGACTAAAATGTACACTAACCTCGGTTAACCGAACGTGTAAATTTACTTTTATACCCCTGTCTTCTTCGTCTTCTCTTTTTTAAACCTGAAAATATACATACACACACATATATATGTATGTATATACACAGACAGAAAAGAAGAAGAAGAGAAATTGAAGCTACACCACATATGAAATGTGTAGATCATATTTTCTAAATGTGTCATACAGTATACTAAATTTGACACTTCATTTTCCAAACACTTTTCTGAGCATATTTTTCTGATTTAGTAGCTTTTCTGACTTCTTTCATTGCAATTACGTCTTTTTTTGGAATTGATGATCGGATTGGGGAAAGGATGCAAGAGTGAGGGCTTTAGATTGGCTGGCCTATCTTTCCATTGTTGTTCAATGTCTTCTGCAATTTTTCTAGCATTCATACACTACAAGAAATAACACATTCGGCAATTAATATTGCCGAATAAACAAAATTTAGTCACCAAAGGTACATGCATTAGCTACTTAAAAAATTTTAGTTACCAAAGGTACACACATTAGCTACTAAACAATATTTGATCACCAAAGGTACACGCATCAGCTACTAAAAATATTTGGTCGGCAAAAGTCCACTAGTTAGCTACTAAAAATAAATTTAGTTGGTATTTTATTTACTTTTGGCTACTAATTACATGTTAGTAGTTAAAAATATCATTTTGGGCGACTAAAAATTAAGTTGGTCACTAATTGTACAATCTTTGGATATTATAAATTT